AATCTTAGATCTATGAATAGGGATGGGTATCGTTAAGGTTTTAACGGTACTACTACTTTTATCGATACCGCTTATCGGTCCGGTCTTTTAACGGTACTCTTATCGGTTCTTTTGGAGAGAAAAATTAGGTAAACTAACTATTAGGGCTGTCAAGTTAACGCGTTAATAACGCGTTAACGCAAAAAAAAATTAACGCCACTAATTATTTTAACGCGATTAACGCATGTGTATTTTTTGTCCTCGGCCGCCGTAGTTTCAGAGCGCATCGAGTTTAAAATACCATCTACAAGCTGATGCTGACAGCCCCGCTCCTGCTGCCCGCTTGTGGCAGACCACACTTCCACGCTCACCGGCAGGCCCGGACTGGCCATCGGGAGGGTGTGTGTATGTGTGGCGCGAGCGAAGCACACCTTACGTGTTGTTGTTAGCGTCTGGTGCTAGCTAGCTGAGCTAACGGATATAGGAGCTGTTTCAATGAAAACAGAGGAGCGACATTTCGCCGACAACTGCGCCGAGCACTTGACTTTATGCAGGTAGCCAGACAGCACACTCAGCACAGATAGTGCGCGCAACACAGCTCATACACACAGGCATATATGCCTTGAGCTGCACATAGCTCCAACAATCCATCACAGTGTCTCCACACACACACACACACACACACACACACACACACACACACACACACACACACACACACACACACACACACACACACACACACACACACACACACACACACACACACACACACACACACACACACACACACACACACACACACACACACACACACACACACACACACACACACACACACACACACACACACACACACACACACACACACACACACACACACACACACACACACACACACACACACACACACACACACACAGTATTGTATTATTGTATGAGAGAGGTTCTAGGTTGAATTGAGGCGAATATTTGTAATGTTCAGAGGTTGTTGTGTTTAATATTCATGAGAATATTTGTCATTGTTCAAATGATAATAAACAAACATATAAAGCATAGTTGTACACTCATATGTTGATAAGAGTATTAAAAACTTGAAAAATATCCCTCTAAGGTACATTTAGAACAGATAAAAAATGTGCGATTAATTTGCGATTAATCGCGATTAACTATGGACAATCATGCGATTAATCGCGATTAAATATTTTAATCGACTGACAGCCCTACTAACTATATGTTGTATGTCAGGGACTACGGATGGAAATTAGCTCAAAGCTAAAATCCGGCATATTTACACTTGAAGCATTATTTGTCTAAAGTGTTCATTAATGTGCATTGTCCCTATTCAAATAAACAATTAAATGAAAATTAACAAATTGTGAACAAAACTAACATTGCTTTTTATTTAAATGAAATACATAATATTTCACATCAACAGAAACAACAACGTTTTAACAAATCATTTAAATAATCTGATGACAGAACTGTGAACAGAATGGCTGAAACTTTAACAAACTAAATAACTCAGTTCCCTCTAATCATTAACCCATGTTTGAATCATTGAGTTAGCTCCGTGTGTTGCTGCTAGCATACATAATATACCTGACGTGGAAACGTTACTCGTGGATGGGGCTACAGAGCTACTAGAGAGACAGTCGAACCCGGTGCATTTCTCCGTCTGAACGTGGTGCACTTTTGCAAGATGTTTAGACAAATTGCTCATGTTACCGCCCTGACATGCTAAACTCTTATTGCACTTTAGGCAACGAGCGAGACGGGTAAAGTTTAACCACACCTCGGAGCGCGTTCTCTCCGCCATCTCCTCCGTGTGTGTGTGTTGCTGCATGTAGCAGCTGCGTGTGTGTAAACTGCCCCGCCCCCTCGCACACAGGCGGGGGAGAGAGAGCTCTCGTCTGGATTGGAGAGATCGAAAATACAAAAAATTACGCATTTTGCAGTCTTTTTGCGTATTAGAAACGGCGTTGGCGACACTAAAACTGCAATATAATGTTTGTGTAGCAATAATACTCATGACATATTTTTTAGATGTCTCCAGTAGGCTACCGATAAAAAGACCGATAACGTCGGAGCTTAACGGTACCACGGTCTTTAATAATTCAGCCCCGGGGCCCGTTTAATACCGGGGCTCGGTACCCATCCGTATCTATGAAGGGTTGCTTTGTCGAGACTTTTACATATAAAGTTGGTCTAGATCAGCGGTTTTCAAAGTGTGAGGCGCACCTCCCTGGGGGGGCGCCAGAGAGCTTCAGGGGAGGCGCAGCGTGAGAAAGAAATAACGAGAAGAAGATGAGTAAAGTGTCACTTGCACACTTTTGGCTGTCTATGGAGACCGAGTTCCCCCACCTCGCCAAAAAGGCTGTAAAAGTGCTCATTCCCTTCACCTCCACCTACCTGTGTGAGTGCGGGTTTTCCGCATTGACTTTGATCAAAAGCAAGTACCGGTCAAGGCTGCAGCCAGAGGATGATCTGCGTTTATTCCTGCCTACATTGCATCCTCGCCAGAGTCCTGCACGGGTCTGATTTTCAAGACCCGCTCCCGCCCCATACCCGCGACGTGCAATACCGAACCCGCCCCGCTACCCACACATATTGCCAATTAGTTCCGCAAACCGACCCGACCCGTCGGCACAAGATCCGCAAACCGATCCGAACCCGCATATCCTATGAGCAGTGAAAACGTGCAATTATTAACACACGCAGTTGCGTATTTGGCTCAAAAAGCGTGGGATGTTGGTTATTTTCTCCATCTAGGATGACACCAAAAGCCTCCCAGACGTTGGATTTCGCTCTTGAGGAAGAGTTATTTACTGTATTCTCCGCTAGAGAGCTTCACCTCAGCCATTTCGAATGTGGCGCGCTCAGCAGCAGACTGAGGCGGTGCAGATGTTATGATTATGCGCGGTCCCGCGGGGGAGAGGTCTGAGGAATCTTTAAACATTAAATTAAATTATTATTATTTAAATATATTTATTATGCAACACCCGCGACCCGACCCGCATCTTCTTTGTTTTACCCAGAACCGAACCCGGAAAAAAATGTTTGAAAAAATACCACCCGCGAATCACTTTTTTTGCGGGTCACCCGTTGAGTACCCGACCCGATGCAGGACTCTCCCCGCATCATCCGCCTGTGCGCATCCAAGATGCAGACTCATCGTTCCCACTAAAGTAGGGGTGAGTGTAATAAGGAGGCAAAGTTGACGTTCAGTGTGTTGCCGGGAGCATATAAGGATTTATCCACGATGTTGAAAATGTTACAATTTTTTTTAATTTTTTTTAAAAACATAAAGAGAAAAAGGTTTAAAAAAGTTATTGTTTAATGTTTTAAGGAGGTTTTAAGGAGGTACTCAGCCAATCAAATCGGTGCAGTCGGTGAGTAATTTCAAATGGCGTGCTCAAAAAAGAGAAAGGTAGACAGCGAAAACAGAGCATTTAATGAAATGTTCTCTTACTGGACCTCTTTGAAATGCAATTGAATACCCCTGCATTATAGCAACAACAACAATAATAATAATAATAATAGCAATAATAATTGGGAGGGGGGGTGCGGCTGTTCTTATGTTCTCTGAGGGGAGGCTCACCTTCCCACACTTTGAAAACCCCTGGTCTAGATAATGATCAGACTTGCTCTCATACACGTACCCTTTCTATTGGTGTTACCATCATTGAACATAAGTTTTTCAATTATTGTTGAAAATACATTTTTTTATTTTGACTTGATATGAGATTACATTACATTACATTACATGTTACTTGTTATACGCTTTTATCCAAAGCGACTTACATACTCAATACTGTGGGCAATCCCCACAGGAGCAATTTGGGGTGAAGTGTCTTGCCCAGGGAAACAACGACATGCTGTGGGGTTTGAACCTGTGCTCCCCTGATCCGAACACCAACGCACTAATCCACTGCACCACACGCCTCCTACCTCCAGTTATCATTTAAAACAATCTAACAATAAACTAGTGGTGCACTTACAGAATGCATTTACAGCATTTGTCTGAGTGACAGCTTGAAGGGAGATAAGTATGCAAGAGATTCCTAAATATGTTCACATCAAACCCACTTCAGTTTGATAAGACTTCCCAACACACTCCCTCTGGGAGCGCTCTTGAACTTATATTCATTCAGTACTCCAGAGCTGCTTAACAAGTGCACTGATAACACTTGTTATAGTCAGTTCAGTAATTACAAACATCTAGTTATTGCATTTCTGTGCTCGCTCCAAAAACTGAAAACCTCTCAGTTCCTCACTTTACCAGGATCCCCTGGAACCCACCCAAGGACCCCCTGTGGGACCCTGGAGCCCACTTTGGAAACCACTGCAGTAGGGCTACATGAGTAACCCAGGGAAAACGCCTCTTTCTCCCCCTCCCCGCCCCCAAAGCAAATGCTGCCAAAAGGATAAGGCGATAAGACGAGACTGGCGAAACTCTCACAGAATTGAGTCTGTGAAGGGGTCGGGTGGGGGTGGGGGTGGTGGTGAGGGTGTGGGTCAACGCGGGGGGGTAGAAAGTAGGCTATGGGCCACTGTAGGGTAACTGCTGTTACGCAATCGTAAACAAGGCAGGGATCAAAATAGTGTTGCCCATGCCATGAGACGCTCGAATCACAGTAACGGTTGAGAACGGTTGAGAAAGGTGCAGCAAGGTGCACGAGACTCAGAACTAACCCCGGAACAGTGCACGGTGGAAGTTTCCCACTAGAAAATATAGAGTAGAATGAATATTGCTGAATGCAACAGCCTGACCCGATGAATAAACTTGTTTCCAAAGTTCAATAACTGGCCGCTACGTTGTCAGCGAGAAGGGCACGGACCGGTCCCGCGAGGCGGTTAACGCACAGTGCGCACATGTGTTCCGACCCGCAAAACATAATCACAACAGCATATTAAACTTTTATTACACGCGCTAACTGCCAACTCCCCGCGGACTTTTTATGCCCACCCCCCAACAAGAGACATGGGAACAGCGTCTTCATCCGGTAACATGCACTCACCTTAGAACCAGAGGCAGGCTACGACCCTCAGAGACGAACACGGAGTGGCAGTCAGGAGAAGAAGGGACACTCGGCGGCGTTGGATCAGGCCACGGTGGTCAACATTCCCGGACTGGACAGATAGACAGAGGCTGGAGGAAGTGGAGAAGGTGGAGGAGGAGGCGAAAACAGTGGCCGCAAAGACTGCAGGCAACTCATACAGTCGGGCGGGGAGCGCACACACACACACACACACACACACGCATACGCGCACAAAAACACGCACACACACGCATACGCGCACAAAAACACGCACACACAAGCTCTCAAACAACTCCTCCCCCTTAGAACAGACCACGCCCACAAGTGAGGTGATTAATGCGGCGTTCAAGTCTCATGGGAATAAGGGCGTGTTCAGAGGATTCTGCTGTTTTTTCAAGAGCTCAGTTCAGTGTGTGCTGTTCATATAGTAGCCTATCTGTACCTTTAAAGTGAAATAAAGCGAATTAAAGAGGGCGTTACCTACTCTATAAGAATATATATTTTACCAGGTTGTTATATATTCAAGTTGTCCATATAAAACCGATACCAAATATTTTTTAAGGAAGACAAGCAGTTGCTCAATAGAAAATTGTTCTTCTCTTACCTTTCTCCTAAATCAAGTTGTTGCATAACTTCATGTTCATGGAAAACATAATACAACTAACTTTCCTCTAAATCTTACTGGTATTTAGAAATTATATTGATAGAATTGGTGACAATGATTATAGGCCTACTAATTTACCTCGCAGTTCTCATTCGCTTTGAAGATAAACACCCTTTAAAATATGCTAAGAATACTTTAACAGCCCTAACACAATTAGCATAAAAACATTGGTTCAATTCATACTTCAGTTTCTTATACTTTGCAGTTTTAGGCAACAGGTTATTTTAAATACACTTTTATGTAAGAAATGAAACCCATTGAACATTAATGTTGAGTCATACAACAAACATAAGCAACATTAATGGCTTGACTTTGGTCGGCCCAGGTTTAAATAAGGTTAAATAGGGGGGTTTTGAGGAATATCTAGGTAAGATGGTAGTGTTTATATGCACACTGTTGTTTACTGAGGACCATGTAAAGAAAAATTAAACAAACTTTAATTCAGCTTCAGCCTTTCATAAAAACAGGGTAATAGTATTTGTTAAGCTTAATAAGGGCTAAGGTTACTGTATTGTAAGCTCAGTGGTTAAGATTATTACCATAAGATACTTTAAGGACATCAATGGTAAACCAAAGTAGTCCCATGGTAATAATGCCCTGCTCTGACGTGCACAATCACAAAACACTGAAGTATGCATATTGCACAACTGGGGGTCAAATCTCATTGCACCAGAGTAACCTTGGAGCACTGTTGTACTTCTGAGCCTTGTGAGGATATTGCATAAGACATTCTGATGTGTATATGACTGACAGCAACAGGTGTACATTCACCTCGTGGGTTATTGTAATTTAAACTGGAGAAACATAAAACATGTAGGAGGAGTGACATGCACCAGCTTGAATTGAAGCCCACAGCAGAGTCAGATAAAGCTCAGTCTCAGGCAGAAATAAAAACATGGAGAACTAGCGTTTACTTTGTTTCCATATTTCATGTGATATTTCAGACTTGGGTAAGCTTAAATGATGTGAACACACCATGGGAATCTGAAGTGCAAAAGGTCATCAGTCCTGTGTGTATGCATCTGGTTTAAGAATAACAAGGGGCTCACACTGTGTCCCATCAGTGTTAACATGCACTCAAAGAGCACACATTGTGCAGTCATTGCATCACAGACATACAAACACATTATCACATCACTCATATTCAGTGTGCCACCATGCAACAAAGCATTCTTCCTGCGGGACTGCACTGGGGCATAAACTAAACACACATTATGTTGATTTCCCCTCATCAGACATTCAGCATCACACATAGGCCTTTTGTTAAAATTGATTGATCAGATATATATTAGACTACTTAACATCGGAAAACAAAGTCAAAACAAACCCCTGCTGATGATCGATCTCACTGTCTCCATCACTCATAAGTCAACTTTAACAAAGCTGAGTAATAGAAGTCAAGGCAGTGAGGGAAAGGCTTTCACTAAAGTGGATTGCCTTAAGCCCTACATGTAAAACTGTTATGGCAACACACTTACCAACATGTCTATAAAGGCGTAACCAAAGCCAAACCTAAATTGTATAACTGCTGCTGTCTTATGTGGTGTGATTTTCTGGTAATTCTTGAATTAGAGCTTGTTTACGTTGTCGGTAGCTTAAAATGTTTTGGAACCGTATGTTTCAACACACGTACAGACTCACGACAAAAATATCACTCACACCCACAGGGAGACAAGAAACCACACGATTTGTAAAGTAGATCAACTGCAGAATTTTGACCCACAAAAGAAGAGCCTGTGGTCCTTTGCAGGTATTTACAGCCAAGATCACTCTTACAAACTCTCAGACATATTCCACTGCTACGACAGTACCCAGTAAATGACCAGTCGCCCTTCATTGGTATCTAAAAATCCCACCATTTACATTTTACCTGGTTACATCTTTGCCACGAAAAGGGGATATTTATTCAAAGAGCATTTGTTTATAATTAAAGACTTGAAATTGCCCCACCAATATGTGTATCCACTGTGTTTACGTGTGATTGCACAGCTAATGTGGATATTGGCATCATTCTAAGGGAAGGAAGAAAGGCACAATGACTAGTGTTTCAGGAATCAGGAATAGAGGTTAGGTTGAAGTTCTGCGAAAGTGTGATGAGTCAGGGTCATGAGCGGCTGACTGGAATAGCTCCTCTGTATTGTGGTAAAGAGAAAGAGAGTTTACAATATATACATATTTGCTGCAAAAGGCTCAGGCACATTGGAATGACGCTAAAAAGAAAGGCACATTTTTAATGTAGAAAGATAAAATACAGGAATATCAGGTGCAAGTCACTTTGGAGTTGATTGCAAAATTATTTATTGAATCAAAAAGCAGGGCAGACAAAAATAAACGTCTATATAAATGTGCACTTAAAACTTAAAAAGCAATAGCTTATAAAATGTTCACACTATCAGTGAAATAGCTCTCTATTGAGGATTTGTATCAAATATTTTACGGTGATTCTCGTGTACAAAATATACAATGCTACAATGTGCTTTAGGCTATTGCGTGAATGAAATAATCCCTTCTAGTTAGTGAAAAAAGAAATATATCTCAAGGTTTTCCCTCTCAGGGAAAAACAGGTGAGCATGAATTAAAATTAATCTCTATAAAACTAGGACTCCCTTTACTCAGATTTCTCACAATCCACAGCAGCAAGCATTTATACCTGAATATGAATGCTCTAGGTTTCTCATAGCCATCATAGCTACTCCACACTGTAAACTTATAATGGAACACAATGGAATGCAACACCATGTGCCTAAATTAAGGCAACCTAAACTACTGCCTTCCTACAGCTTTCCTACGACCAATCGCCATAGTAACTTGTTGGTTAGTTAACTTATATCTTTGCTCATGGTGACATCCACCATTGATATCTTTCCATAACAGTGCTTCAAAAATGTTGACATTTTAAGGAAAGAAAAGGTTCATCTTAATTTCTCAAATAGATCTAACATCAAAGGCACGGTCAGTTGTATCGCTACTGTACAAGTATATGTTTCTGCAGGCCACTCACGCATTACAATGTCTTTTAAACAGCAGCACAAAATGATGATTAGAAGCTAAATTAGAAGTATATTTAGATAAAAGGCACAAATCAGTCATCACCATCTTTTTCTTTCTCAGAGCCAAGAAATGCAGAAGTTGGCATACTGTATGGACCAGATCTGGTTAAAATATACTTTTAAACAAAAAAATCAAACATCAATGGATATATCCATTATTTTTGAAAATGCACTTAAGTTTTCAGTTTTTGTAATTTGTTAGACAAATAATAAGTAGTTGAAATCTGGAAAATCAGCAGATTCAACTTATTGCACCCTATATAGAATATTTAAAGCAAACATCATATACATAACACTGAGTGAGCAACAGTTTAAGGCATCCATAACTTAACTGAGGGGAAAAAATCAAGGAAAAAATAAAATAAAATCATAAACCATTTAAATCTGCTTTCATTGGCACACACTTTGTACAACATTCCAGTTAAGACTACTGAATTCAAGTACAGATGGCAAGATATGTTTAGGAACTGCGAAATGTTGTAAAGATGGACATGAACTCTCTCCAGCAGGCTATTGTTAAAAGCTAACTGATAGAACTGATATTATACATGGAATTAACTGCAATCCTTTCACCTGTGACACAATTATCAGAGAGATCGTATTGGTTTGGCTACTAAGAACCACTTTCACAACATAAATACATATTAGTAGTATTTAAATATTCTCCTTTCATACAAAATCTTTTAAGCATAAGGCCCTGGTTGGTTGTCAGAGGTGCGAAACCCTTTATGAACAAACGATCATATCTAGGTGGCATGTAAAAACCATTCTTTCTTTCTTATTTTTTATATTGGAATTTGTGTCACGCCTTTGATAAGGTTCCCCACAACTTTCAAAAAGCATCCACTCAAAATGTGACTCAAGTTTTCCAAAAGTCTTTTGCAAAAGCACAATGGCAAAACAATAACGACCTGAAACGATATATTAATAGCGTTAATATGTCCTTTGTTACGGTGGTGTGGGCGTCCCCTCCTATGGCTGAGGGAGTGTTGAGGAGGTTGTCTGGATTGTTCCCAGTCTGCCATTCACTTGGACTGTCTTTCTGGGTGCAGCGACCTAGTTAAAAGGAACACAAGTCATGTTTGTAATTCTCCACTTTGGTGGTAAAAGTTCATGTATGCAAAACATAGAAAAAATGCCTTAACTAAAGAAAGTTTTATATGTACTTTTTTTTAGCTCAAGTCTGAATGTGGTGAAAATTATTTACCTTTCGTCTGACTAAAACAATGCAAATATTAATGAGAAAACGTTCAGTCAACTCTACTTTTACACAGCTCCTGACCTGAAATTCAACTTTATCTACTTTAAAATATTCATACAGCAGTACAGTAGGGCTGTCAGTAGAATCTGTGAATGTGTTACTATGTGCGATTAGTTTCCAGATTCCCTGCTGCTGCACCGCAGGAGAGCTTTGTTCTGCCAGTGGTGTCTTTGAACGTTGCAAGACGTGAGAAACCAGACCGAAAGATGTGAGAAGAAAGAGGACACTAGTTCATATCATAGGCCTTTTTTCTTCTGTGTGTCTGGCTTTCTTGTCTCTGTCTGTCTCCCTCCTTTCTTCTTTGATAAGAGGCTCTATGGGTGAAATTAAGCTGCCTTGTCCACCAAGACTCATTAAAAGAAAAATGGAATCTTTACGATATTCATCATTTGCTGTGCTAATGCTAAATTTCAATCTCTTTGTTTTATTTTTTATTTCTTCACTAGTTTATATATTCCCCTAACTTTTATGCAGACAGAACTGAGATTTTGAAGCCAGCAGCCTCTGGTAATATTTGATCAGATGTGACGTGTGTGATATTTAAGAGAGTCTCTATATGCAGAGTAGATAAAGGATGTAACAACTTTCCCTCTGTGGTGTAAATGTATGCTTTTGTTTCCCGTTATTTGTACCTTTTTTAGCCTCTCAGCAGCAGATCCAGTGCGGATAGCGTCCAGCATAGCCTCCCTGGCCGAGGCAGGGATGATGGGGGCGTTAGCACCTGCCACAGTGCTAGTCCTACCCTGGGCCAAGAAGACAGGAGGAGGAGGTGGAGGTGCCATCATGGGGGCTGGTGGGAGCGGTGGTGGGGTGAAGACAGAAGGAGAGGGAGAGGAGGGAGGGCCTGCCTCCTCAGATGTCACGGTCCTGAACTTCTCAAGCTCATCAGCAGACCCAGATTTGGTCTGTAGGAAACAAAAGAGTGAACAATGGTAACTTTAGACATGTAAACATAGACAGGGGCTCTCACATATGGTCTAACGTCAATCTCTGAACCATATTCTTTAATCTAAACATCATTTTTCCTAATCTTTCTGCATTGAATGTTTTTACTTATGATTGTAAAATGTATATATTGTTGTAACTCCATTGTGCAAAGTGGTTTAGTTTTCTTTCTTTATCTTTTTTCTTTCTCTAAGAGAAGTTTTTGTGTCTGATTTAGTCATGTACCATTCCAGAGATTCCACTTCTGGTAGGAACCTCCAGAATAAAACCGCAGATGTTTTAGCTCCAGAAGCACGTTTTCTGCCCCTTTCATTCCACATGGGTTCTTACATGAGAGCAAACCACAGCTCACAGTCCACACAGAGGGATGGAAATAGACACCCGTGCTTGCATAACTTGGTTCATGCACCCTTCTGTGAGCTGCTAACTAGCTTACAATACAGACAGAGAGTTCAGCAGTCACAATTTCTAGTAAACATCCTTCTTGTCCCACCTGTAATGCTATAAGGGCATGTGTTTGTTCTCTATTAAAGACTAAGAGTTTATAACAGCCTAATGCTACAGGCTAACATGCTAACAATGACAATGCTAAATGCTGATTTATGTTCCTCATCTTTTAGCTTGTTAGCATGCTGACATTTTTTCTTAATAACATTTAAAAGAAGCATCCCTGTTCTATCTGTAGCTGGTGGAGTGAGTTTACAGAAATGTGGTCATAAACAAAATATATATAGAATGTTGATGTGGTGGTGACACAAGAGGAAAATGATGAATCATCTCAGCGCCATCTTCCATGGAAATGAATGGTTGTCAAGACATTTCTAACCATACCAAAGATGTCATAAGATCAACAAAGGGGATGAGATTCATCCACTGGGTCGGACCATTTATTTATGTGCACAAATAATATAAGCAATGTGGGTATATTCAATGATTCATTTAAGGAGGTTAAAAGTGGATGACAAACTTATTATGAAAATAAAAAAACACATCATACTGTGACTTTAAAGGCTTGGTTCAGCTCCTTACCACACCCCCTTGATATGGTCAGACATGGGGTGATATTGCGTAAATAGCTAAGAGTGTTTTACCTTCTTCAGCCTCCCGGAGCTGCTCTGGGCTCTAATGGCAGCCAGGAGAGCAGATCTCTCATTCTCCTCCTCTACATAGGAGGCTTTCTTTGTGATGCTGGGACCAGAAGTGGATAGCTAATTACAGATAAAAAGAGAGGAATTATTATTATTCCAATATAGTCTTCCAGGCAACACCTTCAGCTGTAATGGCAAAATTATTAACATATTCTATTATTTCCAAAATGTCATATTGTTATCATAATCGCTCTTTCCTCGACCATCATCCATGTGCACTGTACAATGTGTATCTCACCTTCTTGAGCCTGTCCCTGGCTCCGCCTGTCTGGAGGGCCTCCATCAGGCTGCCATGCAGAGACGAGTCTTTCTCAACAGACTTAGAGATCACTGGTCTGAACTTTTTTACTGGCCCAAACAGTGTAACGGGTGGAGGACCTGTGTAAGCACTTGTGTCTGTCACTGTGACAGAAGGCTGGAGTTTTGCATCAGGTATCAGATTGGTGACTGCCTTGGTCGTGCCCCTCGTGTTCTGAAGATAAGATGAGAAGTTGTAAATAACTAATTGACAGTGATTATTTGTACGTAAAGCATTTGTTTAACAGTAAAATATTCCAATACTGGGTTTACTCACAGTTGTCTGGTCTTCGGACACAGTCTTGGGGGCCGTGGGAGGTTTGGAAGATGAATGTGGAGTTCTGCTTTGTGCAGGGCTGGGGCTTCTCAGACGAATTTGTTTAATATTATCGTTGTCATTACTGGCAATCATGTCATTTTGGATTGGCCTACTAGACTGAATAAGCCTATTGGCTGTTTCTGTTTCCAGCGAATTAAAACTTGCTTTGGTGGATCCGACAGAGCTTCCAAATCCTTCCCTGTCCGGTCTCACTCCTGCAAAATCTCTCTGGCAGTCAGAAATATACTCCGGGTAGCTCATAGACCTCGTAGGACCGGGCGGGTTGGATTTAGAAGAAGAGTGATTCTCCTTATTATCTGACAAAGATGACTGGGAGGATTGGTTTGGATTCACTTTTATGGAGCGACCTGCCCTCTGGAAACCGACAGTCTGTGACTTCGAAGAAGAATAGGAGTCATGTACATTAGAGATAGAGCTGGGTTTAGCTGAGGTCTGTGGGGTGTATTTAGTGATAGCAGACGCCACATATTGACTGGAGGTCCGCCTGGATGGTTTGAGGAAGGACAGGTCTCTCTTCAGGTCTGGAAGCATGGGAGGGGGAAGCGTAGGGTAATTACTTGGCTGGCGATTGTTTTTGGACACTGAAATGTTGCTCTCCACCTGTACCTGCTCTTCTTTTGCAACTATGACGGCTCTTGCTGGTTCTTTCGCTTCTTCTCTAACCATCTCTTTAGGCTGCGTCCTCTCTGCAGGTTTATAAACTGGAGTTTGAGTCATCTTCAGGTCCTCAGTGTTACTGCTCCTTAAAGTAGTTACTGAGATTGCAGCGGGACTACTTTTCAGGCCATCTGTGGTCTCTTTAACCTTATCACTGACATCTTTGCTGTGAGGCACAGAACTTTCTTGTCTTTCGTTTGAGCTCCAAAAAGCTTTGGCTTTTCCAAGAAGAGGAGACCCCTCACTGGAATTAAGTCCAGACTCACCACCGACTCTGTTTCGGGAGGTACCCCCTTTCACCATGTTTCCTTGATCGTCAATCTTAATGGCACCGACAGTTAGTTTGACAGCTGGCTTTTCCATAGCAGCATGCACAACAGAAGGTTTGGGAGGGACCACAGTGAACGTTTTCATACCGAAGCGTGATGTGACGTTACGAGTTATTTGACTGTGTGAAGTATTAGAGCTGCGGCCCTGGCTAACTCTGTGCATCTCTTCATCTCTCTCTACAGGCAGTACTGATATCTGACTGGCTGGTGGAAAAACAGGCTTCTTCTCTTGAAAAGATTGAGCGTCACTTTTCACAGGGTCAGGCTTGCTGTGTTTCTGCTTGTCTACATTGGATTTCACTGCTGATGTTCTTTGTTTTTCCTCTTTCAAACTGTTGGTATCAGTGACACGCATCTCTTTAGTTTTTGTCTCTTGTATCTTGCCTTCCTTCTTCTCAGAGAAAGACTTATTCTCCAGTGACTTTCTATGCTTCTCAGGTTGAGACAGCTGCTTAGTGTTTGCACGGCTGCTTTTATTACTGTCAGCAGCTGTACAAGCATTGTTGTTTTTGTTTTGTGGCTCCACACTGGACTGCTGACAAAAGCCTGGACCTGTGATAAGAAGGGATAAGAAAAGGTCATTTAAAATATATTATAATAATACAACTGTCAGCAGCGGCAACGTATCAGCTCTTCCATATCGTTCTTCCTACCTTTGCTGCCAGCAGTCCTGGTTAGTGACTTTGTCTCAATCTCTACAATGTGGCGTTCATAGTCCTCCAGTACTTCATCTATGGCTGTGACTGGCACATCCATGTCCACTACGGACACCGGCACCTCATTACTGTCTGTGGACATGGTATAAGGAGACTTCTTTGCTGAAGCTATATCTATGTGATCTAGAAAATATGGAATACATTAATACATCATACTTTGGGCACAGATTTATTTCTAAAAATATTACCATGGCTATAACTTCAGTTTGAAATAGTCCCAGTCATGTGAAACATTTCAAATCTATTTGACATCAAACTACATATATAAACGTATATATAAACGTGACGTCGTAGTGATATGATGGTCAACGGGTTTAATGCTTTACTGAACTGCAGAATATATTACTTCCAAGGTATGTACAGCCTTGGAAGTAATATATTCTTCACCTCAATAAAGAAATCAAATATACCAGTTTAATATTATGGGTATGCGATGCTCACCCACCTGCAAGGTTCGCTTCAAAATCTGCAAAAGTCTGATGGAGCTGGGCTGTGAGCTCTGGGTCATGTTTTTTTTTTAACCTGCCAGACTTTGCTTGTGGGCTGATGTCATTGTGCCTGAGGATAGAACACAAAAACATGTGTCAATAATACATATTGAGGGATGCACATGTGAAAACAAACATCATGAAGTCATGAAACATTTGTAATGCAAAAAACAGATTAGTGCGTAGGAGCAGCCATAAACTAGCACTGCCCATCATTCTTATTAACAGTCATCCAGCCACCAGCTGTTATGTGCTGCTTATTTGATGCTGTTGTTACATCTGGCTCCCTTACGTTCACCAAACTGCCCCAGAAACCAAAAGGCTCAATGCAGTTCAGCAGTTGAAGAATGAAAATAAATGTTGGTTTCAGATATTTAAAATAAATTGGATTTCACTTTTTTTGCCGCCTGCTGGCTCTCAAACACGTAGCCGTGAAGATACTATTACCACAGTTTATACTTCCTTCACTCTTTTGAATGGTTCAACAGAGTATTCTCATGAGTTACTGGCATATTAGCCATAACAAATTGCAACAAGGAGGCCAAACCAAATATAATGTCAGTGATTTTGAGAAAACAAGGTTTTATTGCTTTCCTGGAAAACAGAGCAGCCGGCCGCATCGGGCCAGTCCCTGGATTCATAAAAATGCTCTGAGTAATAGCAGCAATCCAGGATTCTGGTCTGGTCACATTACCATGCACATTTCACAACAACTTAAAAGGTGGAAAGTGATCTGGGGCTGCAATAATTTCCCACAAAAGCCTTTGAAGAAGGGCCTAGAAACCATAACTATGTCAGCCAGCGTCTAAAGGTTGAGGGTGCCAGCCTTGACTACAACTCAAATATAACACATTGCGGGAACTGCTCTTGGTTATTGCTGCTGGAGCAGTTTAAACAGTGGAAATACTTCTATAGTGCAGTCATCTGAAACAGTGAGGGTTCATTCTTCAGGTGAAATAAAGATGTAAAACTAAACTTGATCGGCAAATGCAATAATCTAATTATAGATGTGTATTAATGCAGGTAATACATATTGGTGGTTAGGTTGACTCAGACCCAGAGCATGGTGACTGGCACATGTATTAACCAACCTGCCAGGAAACCAGGATTTATAGAATAAAAGGTGACTGCAATGGGAAAGGCAGAAGAGGAGTAGAAGTCAGCAGAAAGCAAATAGAAGGCCAGATAGATGAATGAGTAAGGTAGAAGCTGCGAGTCATTCATATGATCACAAGGTCAGTTCAGATGCCTTAAAGGTCACCTATTATGCGAAAATTCACTTTTTCATGTATTTCATACATAGACATGTGTCCCCTCTGTGTAAAGAGATTCTGAAAGTTTCAGGAACAAAGATTCGCTCACTTTTTGTCCTGATCCATTTATATAAAAAGTAAAACCTGTCTGAAAATGAGCTGATCAGATCTTGGCCACTTTATGATGTCATAACGAATTTTTGGCTTGTGTAACCATTAGCCAATCACCAACCAAGGTAACCCCTGCCCTCCTTATCACCTGAATCTCCTCCTAGAGCACCAGTGGGTTATTTTTAACCAAATATCTCTCAGAGGGGCGTGGGGAGTGGCTCCTTATTTTCATCTAAAGTAACAGACAGAAAATCAGCACTTTTGAAACAGGGCTGAAACAGAGGGGTTTATGGGATGCTACAATGCACGATCTGTTTGGTATTTTAGCCAAACACCTCAGAGACACGTTTGTATATATCTGAGACCTATAATATATTTATGAAAAAGAGTATAATAGGAGACCTTTAATGGGCCTAACCCAATCATCTTGATGGCTAATTATCAAACATTATGTAAAGATATACAGTTATTGCTTGTTAACTTCATTCTACTTTGACCCCCTACTTTTATTAACCCTTACTTCCGTGCCTTTTGTTCTGTAATTGTTATCACTTCCTCTTCACTACCTGTGTCTTGATCCCCAGGTCGCACAGCCCTCGTCACTGTCACTGGAATTGTCCCGTACTGGTCCAAGCAGCCTCTCTGGTCCAGGTCGGCTATTTCCATCCAGGGACAAACTCCCATTTGGGGATGTGGGTTGGGTGTCAGATGGAGAGCCGACCAGGCCCATGTCCTCGCCCTCTGCGATGCCTTCAGAGGCAGCGTAGCCCTGGTCAGGCAGGCTGCTGCTGCTGCTACTGCCCACAGACGCGGTCTCCTCATCAGGCGTGCCCGTTTCTGGTTTCCTTGACACGGCTGCGGAGCTTTGCATGGAGTGGAGCCAAGCTGGGAGAGGATCAAGAACATTCTTAGCATCAGTATTGTGTTATCAGTTTCCTTTAAAAATATTACAATCCAAGTCAAAGGGTTTCAAATGGCCTAAGGTTAGTATGGTGAAATTAAAGGCCTAAGAATGGGCATGTATCTGGGTAGGAAAAATATAAAAACCTAATAAAGACTAAATGTTTTGTTAAACCATGACATGCATTTACTTAAAAAAAACGTGTTGACCTTTTTCTTTGTCTTGTTTTAAACCAACACTAAAGACTTTTGATAGCTGGAAAAATCAATTATAAAAACAGTAAGACATATCATGAGAGCATTTGTTTGAAAAAGAGCACAGGATGCAGAGCGAGCAAGAGCAAGAAATAGAGGAGGAAGTATTTACATTAGGTTCAACATTCATTCTGACACTACACACACACAAACCAGAAAACACGCCACATATACAAACACAAAGCCTGGAGCACAACCACTTGTGGCTTCCACTTGAGATCTTTAATGATGTGCGGGTGCATTCATTGTAAACAAACCCTTTTCATTTGATTTTTTCTGAAGTGTTTAAGGGTTCCAGTGAAAGATAGTATTGCAAAGCCTCTCATCTCTTTAGTACAGTCATGCTTTGGTCTTTTCTGTGGATTTCTGAGAACATATTTAGTCTGTAACTGAAATGATTGAACTCTAGGCCAAAATAATGAAAATGCACCAGTTGTTAGGTCAGCGTGAACAGTACTGGGAAGCCATCAGGGGATTCTTTCAAATGAGTTTAACAGTGAGTGACCTTGTTTGTAATACCATACTGTGGATGCATTTGTGCTCAAATATATCGTGTGTGTGTGTGTGTGTGTGCGTGTATGTGTCAGTTTTGGGCCAGATCCTAAGAGAACAGTCAGTTCCAGGAGATGTGGTGATGACTCACAGGGCTGTCCTCCCAGCTCCTTCCCAGCAACAGCTTAATCATGCCAGCTACAGCCACAATCAGCCCACACACACACACACACACACACACACACACACACACACACACACACACACCCACACACACACACACACCACACACACACACACACACACACACACACACACACACACACACACACACACCACACACACACACACACACACACACACACACACACACACACACACACACACACACACACACACACACACGTACACATGCACGTACACACACAAGTGCACATATACTCACACTGCCCTATGGTCTGTACACACATATATCCTTGCATTACAAACAAATAGTTATCAAACTCAACATGACCTTAGGCACATGCTTCAGTTAAAGCCAAACAAAATCAATAGTGTGACCTGTTACAACATCTAACCATGGCAATCCATGCACAAACCCAAACCAAGGTACTTGAATCTTGATGCAGTCTTCAACTGTTTAATTGGAAAATGTCTTTCAAACATTTATTGTGTTTTTCAATCACAAAACAGATTGTCTTTACAGATAAGCATGTTTTCAATCTCACTACACAACAGGTTCAATGAGTACACATTCCCTTAACTAGGCTACACTTTTGTACCACATCTCAAAGGCTTTGAGCTTGCAAAGGACAAATAATATGTGATATACCTCAAAAAGAGTCAGTGACAACACAATAAAGCATCATATTGTGACAGAATCAGTGATGATGAATACAAGGGTTCTATTACCTTAAAGAGAAAATGTGCCAATGTGTTGATTGATTCATGGTTGATTAAAAATATAGCTTATCAAAGTAAATATAATCTGTTTTTCCCTCAACCAGACATTTGACGTTGCAGGGACAATCCCAGAATAACTGCTAAGGATGTTATCCAAATAATAAGTCAAACAACAAATCAGTTTGTAGTATCATTCTCTTCACTAAGTAAGCTGTTCGGAGCTTTCCTTTGAAGGTCTTTAAAAAACCTATCTTTAAAATACATGAGGCAATACTACCTAAGAGCAACATGTCATTGATATATCACCCTTTCCATAATATTGCCAAAGGCAGCATGCTTTCAGGTCTCAGATTTCTAAATCAAGCCATAACACCAAGCAGAGAGAGAGAAACATACGCTGTCAAACTATTGATCTGCAGATATCGCATCACCAAAATATTGACATGTAGATATCGCATGACCTTGCCTCATAGCCGCATTTGAGCCTCCCACCCATCAATCTAGCTGTAACTGATACGTCCAGGGGTTAGCTCATCTGTCATTGTATAGCCCTCTGACCACATTCTGTGTCCACTTTGAACTCAGCTCTGATCTCATGCAAAATCAATAACAACCAGCAGATCAAGTTGAAATACAAAACCACCAACGCTATATACATACATTTGTAAAAAAAGATAAAGAAAAAAAACCATTGCTTAAGGAGAGAAATTGGATGGCACTTCTTGCTTTCACTTGTAGCATTTTGTGTACTCAGAAAACTCAAATCCAAAACATCACATGGATTAAAGTGGTTTTCTGTGAGGCACAGTTACTCCAAGTGAAAGCAAATAAACATGGACGGTTGAAAATGGTGGTAGCAATGAGACAACATATACAAGAAGAAACAGAAAAAATACATCTCCAAAGAATGAAAGGAGGGTGGTGAAAGTCCAGCAGATATAAGAAGGGGCCAAGAAGAAGCAAAGGGAACTGATTGGATTTGATTGTCAGGCGACGGGAGGGTCAAGCCAGAGAGACTTCAGGAGTGTTTGGAGCGCAGACGCACAGGCCCACAGCAGTACACTATAAAGCAGGGTGAGGGGGGGGGTAAAGAAAAGAACAGGTGAGAATTGAGATGGATAGATGAGATACATTGCATTCAGCAGGGATGACGATAAAACCAGCCTTTGGCGAAAAACACAAAAGTAAAGACATACAGAAAAAAAGAGTGGCCTACATCGGGTTCAGCATCCCTCAACAATGTATTTCAATATACATCTAATATATTCCATGCACTGTATAAATGCAACAAAAAAGCATCTCTGGTTGATTGGTCGTGACCCCTGCTCTGACCTGTTGGACTATAACAGTTTGACATTTATAGAAATGAAGCACCTTGACCTCGCATGGCCCCAGTATCATTTAACAACGCCTATCTCACTGATGGAAAGATGGAAAGCAGGCGAGGACAGATGCATTATTCACACACACACACACACACACACACACACACACACACACACACACACACACACACACACACACACACACACACACACACACACACACACACACACACACACACACACACACACACACACAAAAAGGTTTGGCAGTAGGGGATAGAACACATTCTGATTGGATGGAATTAAAGGTTAGCAAACCAGGAAGGCAGCTTCTACAGAAAAGAAAGAGCAACAGTGAAAGAAAAAGAGGGGCAGCCCATCTGGAACCTACACTGGGGAGCCGCTTCCTCCGCCTCCATGGGACTCTGCGGGGATCTGCTTTCTGTGGGCTCAATGGGGGGGGAGGACGGGGAGGACGGGAGGACAAGCTGCAGGGGGCCTGGTGAGCGGTGAGGTTTAGGTGGCACTGGTCGAGCAGCGGCTCCTGTGGGAGAAACAGCAGGCAGGCAGGGCAAGATCTCAGGGTCATGTTTGTAATTAAAAGAGGGGAATGTGGGAGAAACATCTTACAAGTTATCAGACTGAAAGTAGCAGAGATTATGCAATCACAGTTATTTTGTTTTTTATTTATGCTGGCAACGTCTTTGCTCCACTTCTTAGAAACGGCTTGTTATTCAAACAGTGGGTTTTCTTAATGTTCGGATGTTCTTGTTCTCAAACTCGAGTTTCTGTGGGTGCTGAGCCAGAGGGTTTATCACTTGTTAAAAGTGCTGTGAGCAAATCTTATGCTTACAGTACATTTATTTGTAATGTAGTTTAATACCAACAATCCTGTTGATTTTCAAAAATCTACTGTATGTATATTAGGCCAAATCTTGGCAACAAAGGTCTTTTGAGCTGAAAAGTGACACCTACAACAGGTTTATGGCTAACTTTCGGCTTAGATAAATCCTGCAATAACCTGCATAACAACATGTGCGGCAGGAGCGGAACTCGTGTTTTATTTCTTAGCTGCTACTGTGGCTTTCAGTATTGCTTCCAACTTGTGTACAATCAATACAAAGCATATTTGTAAATGCAGGACATTTTTAGAAGATTTTAAACGTTGACTTGATCAAAGAAGAAAAGCAATGTGTTTGTTCATGAAAGAAGAGGCAGCAAGAAAGGAAGTAGAGTACAGATGTGTAATATATACATTCACAAAGCACTGGAGGCGGGTGATGCTAACAGAATTGTGGACTGATGAATGGGTTCAAGTCAATCCGGATAACATATTGGGTTGTAGGGGCAAAAGCAAAATGACTGTAAAACAGCACTGTTGAAATACAGCTACATAACTGTCCCTCTAAGACTAAAGAAGCCTCAGCGTGCTGTGTCTTAGTCAGCAGGTGCTTTCGATGTGTTGCTTTATCTGTGTACTCTGCTGTCGACAACAGGAAGGAACTGAGACGGCGTGCAGGGCTGCGATGATGAACAACACCATCATAACCTTGACAGCTTCTGGAACACACACACCAGCGGTAAAACTCTTCTTCTCTAATCCTACAATTTGATACAGTTTTCCCCCCTTGTGTTATTGTGTCTGGGTTTGCATACATTATGTTTCTCATAAAGAAGGAACTAAACAACCACATAGACATACACTGCACTGATGCCTTTGGTGCTCAACTAAATAACCGTATGATTAATGTCTCAAAAACACAAGTACTATATCAATGCCAATATCAAACAGTGGAGGTTGCTAACCAGATTTAAAGGTAAGACAATACTTACATGTTACTTGAGTTCATTTCTTCAAGCTGAACAAGCAGTGAGAAGAATATTTGCAGATTCCACAGATACATGTTTTCAAAGATAGGCTTAGGCTTCAGCATTACAAGAGTTTGAAGATGTAAATATTGCCTAGAAGCAATGATTTACAAACAGAGATTCAAAATTGTACTAACGAGCTATTCTATACTCCAGTATCCCTTATAGTTTGACTGTTTTAAGACTTTGTGATGGTCTTTAGAATTAAAAGGCTCCCAAAGCAAATGATATACAGTTTACCATTTGACATGCACACATTGTTTTTGCTCAAATGAAAGGCTGTATGAAGCACACATAAATAAAAGGCCAATCAACCCTATGTAAATACACTGTATACATTATATTAAATATATATATTATATTGTTTCTGTATATATAACAGAGGGCACCACCCTATACTGTAGTGCAGGATGTAGGTGTTTCACCCTATCCTGTGTACCAGAAATAACATGTAGTGTTTAGTTGCTGCATGTTGATGTGGAGATTGAGTGCAAGAATAAAACCATTTTTTTCATTTAAAAGTTAAAGAAAGAAGATTGAAACCAAAGGAAGCTTTAAAGCAAGAGCAGAGAGAATGTGTTGTACTGTCAGCAGTGTCAGGAGAGAGGGAAAAAGAGTTATATACATGTATTAATGATCCCTGTGCTCTGTTCTATTCCTGACTAATGCAATAACCTCCTCATATTTCATCCTTTCTCTTGCTTTCATGTGTCTGTCCATCATCCTCCTCTTTTGAAACCCCCCTACTCCTCTTGTTTCTACCTTGTCATCCCCACTGCCAAACCTTCCCATGCTCCTTGCTCTGAACTCCATTCTGATACCCTCACCTTTCTCATCCCTTTTTCTGAGGTCTACCTCTCTCTCATCCCTGCCCCCTGTCAGACACAGCAGCCCTCTTCTGCAATCTCACTTTGTTACGGGGAGAGATCTAGGTTTTATAAAAGATCAATACAAGGCCAGTTAAAGTTCAAGTTGATCCGGCTTAAATCTATGATGGATCTGTCTCATTGTATCTGCCGGCTTTGAGGGTTTCGGGTGAGTGGCTGCATGCACATGAGATAGAGAGAAATTAAGACAGCAACTGAGAGAGAAAGTGGAAAAAAAAGAGAAGATAAGAAAGTGAGGGATTGATAAGCACAGGCGAAAGACAAGGACTGTATTGTCTTGTAGGCTATGATGAAAACCAGCTCCACAAGTTCCTGTACTTCAGCCATGAAGTGCACACACACACACACACACACACACACACACACACACACACACACACACACACACACACACACACACACACACACACACACACACACACACAACACACACACACACACACACACACACACACACACACACACACACACACACACACACACACACACACACACACACACACACACACACACACACACACACACACACACACACACACACACACACACACACACACACACACACACACACACACACACACACACACACACACACACACACACACACACACACACACTCTTTCACCAGGTGATTTACGTCATTCTTGACAGTTTAAGTTTCAGAGGTTGCAGCAGTGTGACAGCTCATTTCTCCAGGGCAACTCAACTTCAGACTGTTTCACTTCATTAACCCACAGAGAGAGTGTTAAACATCACTAAAATCAACACACATTTATACAGAGGTGGGGAGTAGTGGAGTACAAATACTTCGTTACTGTACTTAAGTACATTGTTCTGGTATCAGTACTTTACTCCACTACTTATTTTTCTGACGACTTTTTACTTTCTTCTTCTTACATTTTCAAAATAGGCTTGTTACTTTAGTTTTAATCTGCGTTTGGTGGCGTGATCATTATTATTTAGAGTAATTGCGTGCCTATTTATTTGAACACGATCCGTGTATCCATCATTTCCTGGTCTTCTCTAAAGAAGAGGGACCAATGAAAACGTTGTCATGTTGCCGTTGTTCAGCATCTAAACATTCATTAGCTAACAATAACATTATTGTTCTATTAATATAAAGGGAGGTCAGTTACTCTTTAAAACAGTTGGTAGTTATGGGTACTTTTTACTTAAGTACATTTCGAAGCCCATACTTCTTTACTTTTACTTGAGTAAAGAAGTTTAGTCAGTACTTCTACTTTTACCGGAGTATTTTTAAACACGAGTATCTGTACTTCTACTTGAGTAAAGGATGTGTGTACTTTTGCCATCTCTGCATTTATATGACTTGTTCTTTTAGTGACTGTGCTGCCATTTTATAGATATTTACCCATTGCGCTGTTTCTGTTGTTCTCAACGTCATCCAGTTTCAGGTTCAGGGCCGACTCAGTGTCTGATCTGGAGATGCTGGTGGAGATGGCCTCTGGATCTAGTTTGGCCGTCGTGCTGCTGGCCTTCTGGGATTCCTCCACCCTGCCGCTGGATCTTTTCACAGCGGGATGGACCCGAGCAGAGCCGCTCTCCGTGCTGCTGGTCAGGGTGCTGCAGTACGACACCGCCTGGTCCAGGTCAACGTCAGAGTCCTCGAGGCTGTGGCTGAGTTCAGAGCTGGAGTCCTGGACCGCTAGGCTGTCTGTGGTGCTGCTGCCGCTGGGGGTCGGGGAGCTGGGGGTCGGAGAGCTGGGGGTGGGGGTGGCAGCGATCACAGGTGGAGGCTGTGCTACAGTTTTCAAGGGGACGGCGTTTACTGTTTGCGTTACCACAGTGGTATCGGACACAGTGTTTGACTGTGCCACTTTAATACGGAAGGATGGGGTAGGAGCTTCAGTAGCATCAGGGGTGGGAGAGGCGGAGGTCGAAGTGTCATCAGGGCCTGGGGTGGTGGAAGCTGGGGTGGGGGGAGGGGCCGGAGCCTTTCTCTTCCTCTGCAGGGTTTCTGTGCCAAGGCCCATCTAATAAAAAATAAGGGAAATAAAAGGAGAGCGACAGTAGCAAGTTAATTATCTGAGCACCTTGTGCAAATGTGTGTGTTAGGTCTACCCGTAAATCAGCCTGTCTTCCAAAACTGAAGTAGAGTTTACTACTGAGTAATTAAATGGAGAGGAGTTCTGGCAGGCGTCTGAGTCTTCAAATTCACCAGAGTGCCAGCATTCCTTTTAAATTATCTTACAAGACTTATAACGTCTGGCAGTGACACAGTGAAAGTGATGCAGTTGTATCATGATAGTACATATTGATACTGTGTTTATTTTTCTGTGGAGTTTCTCATAATATCTCAAGGCGACATGAAGCATTATTGAAAAGCAATTTTGTCTTGCTGATTTACCCTTAATACTGAATCACTGATCACTTCAGGGGATGAAGTGACGGCTCAGTTTACATCAAAATGATGTAATTTCGCAAACACTAAAAAAACAAACACTTAGAAACTCTGTCTTGTCATGTTGTTACCGTTCTTCAATACAGTGTGCCAATTCTGTTCTAACATGATGTTGTCAAGGAGCATCTTTACCCACTTAAGCATGAAGTCAATGATGGGGTACACGTAAAATGATAGTTAATAACATCTATCCCAGTGGAAACATCTGTCAATGGATGTTTCATAACATTAAGAGTTGTTTCTGTTTTTCACAATGACTGAGGGAAAAAGAAATACATTCAGAATGGCTGGGGTGGACTTTTTTGGATAGAGGCTCACAGATGATAGAGTAGGAAAGAAAAAGCATAACACCATGAATCATCACGAAACTAGAAAGTGGAAAATCATGTATGTTATTCCATGGGGAGGTGAGACCGTTGACTACCGTCTATGAAAGTTGATTTCAGTCCATGTGAAGTCAGTTTTCTAAGAATCCATTCAAAAGCGCTATGGGCAAGTTTCAACAGTACAGATGTCTTTACTTTTAAGAAATCCCAATTACTGATGCTGTGCTGAGTTCACTGTGAGACTCAGCAGAAAGAACATGCCCGGGGCTTCATGTAGTGTTGCACCATGCAGCAGGACAGGAGAGATCAGGCCACCTTGCCTTTCTGCGGGCAAACTACTTCACACATATGAACTCAATGCATGCTATGCAAATCCAAATGGCCCCCCCAACTGGTAGTCTTTCTCTTCCTTGGTCTCCTGCTTCTCTCCCTCCCTGGCATTCAAACATACATGAATACAGACATACCAGTGGATGTGGGCCAAAGTTGAAGCTGAAATGGATGACTTGCCTATGAATATGGATGTGTGTGAGTGCATGCACGTGTGTGTGAGTATGTATATGTGTGTGTTCCCTGCAGAGAGAAGACTGCAGTCAAGCTATGCTAAGAAAGGCAGAGAGCTGTACACATGCACACTTAACAGTATGAGCACATATTCTCCAGCATGTAAAAAGGAACAGTATATATATGGATTGTGCAGTTGTTAAGGGTTGCAGGGTTAAGAGTGTGATGCTCTCATGGTGGTTATTGGCGCCATGACTGGGAACGCAGCATGTACTTAAGATTATTAGAGGCTGAAGTCAAGTCTCAAGACTCAGTATTATACCACATTCAGGGTTACACTATATATTAGGTCAAGCTGGGTATGTGATATGATTATGTATACACTGTGTTTATGTGTGTTGTTAACTGATATTACATTTGCAGCTTTGAACCAATAGCTTTACACCAAAAATATTATTTGTTTTATTAGTGTTTGAGATAAGATAGGTCTTTCTCATTTTAACAGCGTGCATTGCTTGAAGCTCGAGGCAGGATCTGGCGACGTCTGCTCATGTCTTATGTCAACCTTGTGTCATGCCATCACAGGTCAAGTCACAACAAAGCAAAAGAGAGTTAAAGTGTCAAGTGGATTCACAAGTCGTGACACCCCAAGTACAGTCGAGTCATGTTGCATCAGATCACAAGCAGAAACAATGTCAAATGGAATCACTGCAACTATGTGGAAGTGAGTGATGTGTGCGTAGAGCAGTTCTCTCACATTACTTTTACATTATTTATTATGCAAACATTATACATCTTTATCACAAGGAGCCATATTTGTGGATAATCTCTGTGGTGTTGAATATCTAAAGGGCTCAAAAAGGTGAAGGCCTTCTATACTGATTATCTTGATAAACATTTACTGCAAGAAACACCATCAACAGGTCTGATGATTAACAAAGGATGTGAGGACTATCTGATTATCTGAAGTCTTTGTTTCCCCGCTAATTGTGTTTGTTTTGCACAGGAAATCCACTAACAAGAGTAAAATGGAGAACTTGATGAGAGCTATTCAAAGCTTTCCTGTTCTCTGCCGTGTTGATGTATTGGACTAATGACCACTTAGACCAACTGTAAAAATGCTTTTCATTGTTCAATTATGATAATAATTAACATAACTAATCACAAAGAATTATACAAATACATTGCACACATATTTTCGCCAATTTAAAGTATAACTAGAATCTCTCCTGTCAATCACAACTGGTCGGGGCAATGGTCTACTGGCTTCAATGCGTGTAGAGAACAAGCAGTTACTATCTACCAACAAGTATCTTTGCTTCACTTTTCTTGTTTGGTTTGTTGCCCTGATAAAGAACGATTGAGAAACAACGCAACATATGTGGACATGGGTATATCTTAAAAGGAATGCGCCTTTACACAAAAGTGCAAAGAAGGACATGTGAGGACAGTCTGGTGTGTCCATTACATGTTCCATCTATGGTTTGAGAGGCCCCATGTTGGAGCATGTTGATAGATACGGCCACCCATGGAGGCTTTAACCTGGTGGCGTGAATATTCATTAGTGGTTTTGAAGGACTCTAGATGGGTGAGGGGCTTTAACACAGGGCAACATTACAGACGGTGCTAATGTGAAATGGAGTATGTGTCTATGAGAGGGGGTTACACTGTATATGTGTGTGTGCTTGTGCATGTCAGGCACATTGATATATGCATGTGCGTGTCAGAGATAATAAATGCAGCTGAACTGTCTCAACTCAGAGGGCACAGAGGTCAAAATCATCCTAACAGTAGGCTGGAAGAGAGTTAGCATGGGTGAGGGTGTGTGTGTTATAATGAACATATGTGGGATGTATGATGAAAAGAGTTCATGTTAAAAGTCTTAACAATGTGTGTGTGAAAGGGGGGGGCGTAGGAAAGGCTAGCTAAGGATAAGGAGACACATGGCTGACCCAGTTCTATTGTCGTCTACTTTGTCCTACTGACCCACTGAAGTTGAATGTTTTCTTCCCCTTTTTCCCAACACTTACTGTGATGCAGTATACACAGTGAGCGTCTAGTAAGGGGTTAGTGGAGTCACTGTAGAGTAACTTAGTAGCAGTTGTAAGTTCTCACATTTTAAAGTTTGTAGTTTTTTCCATTTTCCAACATTTAGTCCATGTGGTTGACAAAGTTATTCCCTGATTGCACTCTAATTGAAATCTACAGCAGTTCAATGATAACATCTTCAAAATGGCAATACAATCTGGTAATTTGTTAGATATAAAGTAAAAACCACAGGTTCAGAGGAATCTAACACTGATACACACACGTATGCGTACACACATTAACATCATTCGTTTGTACTATCTAGTTTCATACACAAGATGTTTTGACAGCTTCAAGTGCAAACAGATTCTGTCCCACATACTGTAGGCAGCATGACAGGGTGATGTGTTCCCCTATTCCGGGCCCCTAACTCACACTTTCACTATCTTCAAGGTCAGTGCTTAAGAATAGAGGACTTATAGCTCCTACTTACTTTAAACTTCAGCCACCATGACCCCAAGACTAGGCAGACATTCAGCACACAGGACATGTGTGTATTCATATGAATATCATTAATTGTATTAGGATGCATGTGTATGACAAAAGCCATTGTGGATCTTTTGCTAGGCCAGTGGATTAAGTTTAAAAAAACTTTTATAAAAACATTACAAGAAATACATGTGTTCAATTTGCATGGTTGGATCGATCTCATCCAACCACATACGCCACAGGTGAACAGTTAATCATCCCATCCAAATCAGTATGGTGTCCTCTTCTGAAAAGGCCCAAATCACCAATATGTCTTTCCAAAGTTACTTATAACATGTGTATTCTGGGCTGATATCACAATTTCATGTTCAATGCTAAAGCCGATTGCAAAGTATAATTTAATGAAATCATCCACTGATGAACAAAAGACGTGATAAGTGGCATTTTCTGTGCGGTGATTAGTTTTCTTCAACCTTGCTCAATGAAGCATGCTTTTTTATATTAGGCCTTTAATCTCAAAGAGTATCCGTGTTTCGTGAATTCACTTCAACTTTATATTGGTGGTTCAGACCTTTTTAACTGAAAATACAGTAAGACCACTCCCCTGGTTCTGTAACTGTGTTGTACCTATATTGGCCTTATTATGCCATCATAGTTTTATTAACTTCTGTACTACGCACATGGATAGAAAAAAAACCCTGCAACATATCTTCTATTTCCTTTTATAGTGTTACAGCACTGCTAATGGTTAATCTAACTTATTCTATCACTGATGTGCTGTAGCTCTGATGCACCTGAGTTATAAATGCATGTGTAAATGATGATTTTTATTCGAATGCAACTCGTGTGTATGTTCATACTAAGAATTAAACAAGTTTTTTTATTAATCAAGGCCCTCTAAAGACGTATGTAAAATGAACATTGCCTTACTAGAGCCACTAGTAGAGCACCTACAGTTTTCAGCTGGTATGAATGTGAAGGAAGGGTTGCCTGTTTACTTTGGCAGCAGTAGCCTACTTGTTTTGTAATCCGTACTGATTTAAAGAAACATTTTTGTTCCCACAGAGTAGATGGAGAGATACTGTGGAGCCATGTGTCAAAAACATACTTATCAACCTTCCAAAGCATGATTGACATATCACACCAGGAACACCCAGGTCACCATCCTTCTTTCTATCTTTTCACAGTTCTTTTTGCTTTTACCCTCCCCCTCTTTCCCTCTCTT